GGGGGGGGGGCTCTGGTGAATTATTTTGGAGATCCGATTATTTTTTTTTTCAATATTAAAATCATATTTTTAAGGGGAAAAAAATAAATATTGTTTTGATTTTTGTCGGACGGACAGCAAATATGTTTAATTTCACGCACGACAAAACGAGAAAAGACATATAATCTAACATATATTACATATATCGGTGATAACATGAAAGCATTTTGCTTTCAGCTTGACTTTACACATGTAACGAAGACTCTCAAGTGTGTATTTTCATTGCTTCCAAATCACAAAACTCGTTGGCTTGCTGAGGTTGTTAGATACAACATCGTATTGTTCACTACTTAATCGGGGAGGTGTAGGGCAAGAGGGTTGGGGGGGGATCTCTACAAATGATCTCTTGACTAAATAAGTACGACTACTTAACTGACCTGTATCTGGTTGTCATATATTATATCCCTTCACGTCTTCGAGCTCTCTTTTATATATTGTTTCAAGGTTTGCTTGGTTTTTCTCTGCTGTTGCTGTTGCTGATGCCCTGGGAAAGGCTCGAACGGAAATGAGATTTTTATTTGTCGCGATTTCAATAGCTGAAATTCAACATCGGTTTCAGTGGGGAAAAAAAAGTGTGCCCCGCCCCCCCCCCCTTCCACCCTTTTTTCCCCACACCTATTTCCCCCTCATCGTCTAACAAATAATAAATCAACTTTGAGTGGGGGATATAAAAGAAAAGAAAAGAATGGTGGGGGTGGGGGGGGACCCGTTGAATAAGATTTTGTTCTGAGACGCGGTCAGCGATGCATGCTATGATCATCGTTCTTTTATAATTATAAGCGAGTCGATGTCTGGTTGTAGAACGAGAATAAGAGGGAATGTTTGGGAGGAAAATATTTAGGGATGCAGTCAGGTTGTTTGTTTTTCTGTTTTGTGTGTGTGCATATATTTGAATTAGAATTAAAAAATGCGTCCACACTGACTCAGCAACGAAGTTGCATACTAAGGGCATGCTACATTTGTGCGTATTACCGAAGTCAACGAAGTAGGCACTGCGAATCGTGTTCCTAGATCACCGGATTGCTGAACATCTATATTTCTGCCTCATATTGAGATAGGTCAACGCATACGAGCATTCTCCAGGGTAATTGAAGCCTCCAGCCCATGGTCGCAAGCAGGTAGGGGCAAGGTGGGGCACTTGCCCAACCTTGATTGATTGGATAAAAAAATTTTAGACAAAAAAAGAGGACAAAAAAATTATTAAAGTAAAGAGAAAATAAAGAGAAAGTAACTAAGCTGATGTCCTGTCCACTCGTTCACCATACAAATACGCTACAGTAAATTAAAACTACATTAAAACATTACTTTCAGCCAATCAGTGAACTCCTATAGTCACTCTAATGACTGGTGATCATATAGATTTCGTAACCGCACGCTGGTAAATTCGTGCAGACTGGGAAACAAGAATGCTTATATCTTTCGGTCCTAAATTTTTTGCCCCCCCCCTGGTAAGTTTATCTGTTTTTTTTTCCCCCCCCCCCCCCCACCTACAAAGTTTTCTGCGGGCGCCCATGCTCCAGCCAAATCTCTTCAGCCAGGTAGTTGAAGACGAATTTTTTAGAAGTTTTTTTTTGGTCTAAGATGTTAAAGAGGTATATAAGAAGCCAATAATTAAACAGCTTCTTGTCCTGGTTTATAAAACGTGACATACCAGTATTTCAAAGAAGTCGAGTTTTCCCAGGAAAGATCACGGTGCGTGAATTCAAAAAGCCTTTGTCAAGCTATTCAGGACAGGACGACGCAGAGGCACATTCCAGGTAGATGACAAATTACGGTAATGCTAACTATGAATACACCCACACACAAATACACACTTACAAATAATGTATGAACAGTGCATTGATAAATAATAACCCTTAAGTTGTTCTTGCCATAATCAAGACGTGCATCAAGCAGGTCAGTAATGTTGTATAGACACAAGAAGAATAGACCTACTGTTTGTCAATGTTGGTAAGTTAATTCTTTTTTCTTATATGAAAAAAAGGGGGTGGCGATCATATGTTGCATGTTTCCTAATCTATGCGGCCTTAAACATAGGCACACACATATTCATAAAAAAAAAACAGAACAGTGAGTAACACAGGCTTAGAAATTGCCATCCTCAATCAATCCAGTTATGACATTAACCATGTTCACGTGATTAGAAGAGACGGCCGTCAAGACGTGGGACGTTAATTGCAAGGACGTGAATGGAGCCTTAAATTTAAAAAAATGCCATGAAATGGACGTTTCGGCCAAAAGGTTTCGTCGGCTCACATAATAAAAACAACAGATAGTTTAATCACGAATAAGCTTAGTATTACTGAGACCGCTCCTACAAAGGTCCTACTTTGCTATATAAAAAAAAAAGTAATTATCCTTTGAAAAAAATTAATTTCTAAAACTGATTATTTAAATACAAACAGACACAGCTGCCTTAAAAAGCCGTGTAAACCTCTGGGGTGCTCCTCGGCAGTCTAAACCGGCGCACTGGGAAAAGAAACTGTAAATGACTGATGGGACATAGTATATCTTTAGAAAGGGGACGTTGAGTTGTAAGCTTATGATCTTGTTTTTGAAATATTATTTCAGCACTAGACCCATAAACTGTACACACACACAAATGTTCATATAGATTTCCTCGGCAATTTCCACATTTTTAGACCCACGCTCTCTCGATCTAGCCGGATTCAGTCGGCTTATAACAGAGGTTCTTAAACTTTTTAAAGCGTTTCTCCCCCCCCCCTTTTTTTTTTCCATTTCAAAATAGTGACCGCATCCCTTACCCCGGATAAAAGGTATTGTAATTTTATACAATGAATATTATTCAGTAACGGGTCTTCCTGCACCCCCCCCCCCGGCACTTTCTCCAACACGCACAAGGGGGTGTCGGGGCCTTTCTTAAGAATCGTTGGAGCTCACTGTTGAAGTCTCGTCTTGGAATGACATCTAGTAATTATCTTCAAAAATAATTAGTCAATCTTTAACGCAACTGGATTTATGTCGATAATGACATCATTGCCAGAAAATGACATCTTGGCCAGAAAATTACCTCTTGGCCAGAAAATGACATCTTGGCCAGAAAATGACATCTTTTTTAAAAGAAGCCTTTGTTCATTAATTATTTGTCTTTCTTTAATAAATATCAGCAATTATTTCCTTATTGTAAAGGTCTTACGTAATAGTCTATTCCGTGATTATGGGGCAGAGGGAACCTTCTAAATGTATCCTCTATATTTGGTTATTCGAGTGGAAACAGTTGCAAGGTTTTCAGCTTTTTAAAGGTAAAGAAACATTTTTATGTTACCTCTTTTTAAACTAATCTCGTATTCAGGCCGTAGCACGCAAACGTTGCATCTGTGGTATAGGCTGAACTTAGGCGCCCTCTTGAGGATGAACTTTGGCGCCCTCATAAGGATGAACTTGGGCGCCCTCTTAAGGCTGAACTTAAGCGCCCTCTTAAGGCTGAACTTAGGCGCCCTCTTAAGGCTGTACTTAGGCACCCTCTTCCAAAAAATAAATATTAATAAATTAATACACATAAGAAATATACAAACGGTAAGGGAAAGCCAGAAGAAAGACATCACAATAAAGTGGACTTTTCGGCCAAAAAGCTTTCGAAAGCAACAAAAAAATCGTTAAAGACAGAGTTAAACATTCTTAGCGTGTTGTGGAGATATTTTGTTCTATTGTCCTCTTCCACAAGGACCACCACCGAGCACCCGCAATCATGTTCCTGGTGCACAATAAAGATCTACCAGAGCTTAATGCAAGTGAGCTTGATCTATGGCATGCCCGGTACTCGCTGACACGCTGGTATAAATGCGGAAAAAAAAACACGTTATTCAAGACCTGAGCATTTACCCAAAGCATATCGTGTAATATGGAAACCAAAATACAGTGTGCGCAGTCATCACCAAAAGCTAAATGGTAGCCAAATATAAAATCACACGTTTCCTAAAGGCAGCCTGCTCTAAAAGGATTATACCTATCTTATCTACACGTCCAACGAGAACACCAACTCAACCTAATGAAGCACATTCAAAGTTTGAAAGAAGAAATTTTCTTATGTTCTTAGCAGGTAAAATTTATAAAAATGTGTCTTCACTCAGTAAAGTTTGTCAACTCCCACCCTTCCACCCATCTACCGCCAGCGAAGCACTGCAGAGGAACAATGTTACCAGACAAAGTCCATCTGAGTTGAACCTGGAGATTTCTTTATAGTGGCTTCAAGATCGGGTTGAAAACGGGGATACATCTTCTATGCATTCGTTAATGCATATTTTCTTTTAGTTTGCAATTAAACAAAATTGCTATTTAAAATGCATGTAATAATTTCAAAGGCACTAGAGTAACGGCTATTGAGTACCTTGTTTGAGAAACACCATTATTTCAATAAAAACAAACAAAACGAAAATGAAAGACTTGAAGGGGGCAGAACTCAAGATTTATATGCCTGATAGTAATAATTATAGTAGCTTCCCTTGAATTCAAATCTTTTAAATTGTTCGATATATGAATTTAAAATCGATACTTTAGTTTGAGTATCGTTAGTAAAAGTTTCCGTATCTTCAATAACGTTTTGAGTGATTTTAGTGAACTAAATAAATGTACGTTATCAATGAATTTTTCTATTTATTTCTCTCAAATTATATTAAAAAAATATTTTATTGTTTATATTATAAATAATAATTGTATTAAATAAAAATATTAAAATGAAAAGTTATGGGGCCCAACATTATTAAAATGACTGTATCCTTTGAAGAAAAAAAAAT